ATTTTAAAAAAATCATGATTTTTTTACGAATATATATATATATATATATATATATATATTAAATACAGTTTTGAAAATGTGTTCATTTATTTTTGTATTCTTAATAATAATTGTAGACCAGAAGGATTCTTCACCTAAAAATTTATTTATTTTATTTTATTTTATTTTATTTTTTAAAATATCAATATGATTTATGAATTTTATGTATTTATACTTTTTTGATTGAATAAAACGAATTGGGTACTAATTAATTTGAAAAAAGAAAATGCCCAACTTCAATTATCTATCTATCTATCTAGACATATGATTTTTTTTATCAAAATATGAAACTTATGAAATTTCAAAGATTTATTCGAACTTTTGTTATCAACAATCTTAGTACTTTTATTCATAATAGCTTGCAACACTAAAGCCCATGATCTTACAAGAAATCTTCCTTTGGACTGGACATTCATCTTTTTGAATCGAAAATTAATTTCAGAAAAAGAAATTACAATTAATATTTGGTTTATTTAGGCCCAACTAATGTGGTATGTCGTTAAATATATATATATATATATATATATATATACAAATTTATCTATAAGCTGAAATATGCATTAAATTTTTTTTAACTATATTTAAAAAATCAATCACCTTCCAAAAACCAACCTCATAAAATAATAAAAATGTGTAAAATATATACAAAAATTAAGTTTTTAAATACAACATTTGCTAAACATGTCGGTATTCTTTGTGAACATTCCATATATATGCTGGCTCAAAATTAATTATAATTAATTTTTTTTATATGTGATCAAGTATTAATAAAAAACTAAGATTTGTTGGACATCAAACTCATTAAGTCGTTTTTATGCTAATTACGGAATGTTTAAGTCAACGAGAATGCTACATATTCTCCCACTCTGAACTTACAATTCGATACATCTGTATACTGATATGCCCAATAATTAAACACCTCACCAGGAGCTAGAAATCTCTCTTTGTTGATTTCATTCATTTTTTACATACAAATTATCAAAAATTAAACCTCTTAGAACTGGTTTATTCGAAGGAAAATGTTGTAAATTGTAACGTGAGACTGGACTTCGACGTCAAAGTTACAAGCAAGCTCTATAACGATGTGGTTGCCAAGTATTGACCAGTTCACAACCAAAATGAGTGTGAAAATTGAATTTTAGCGAAGGCTAAAGCAATTTCTGTGATTCTAGAGCCAAAAATATGCACTCTGCATTGAACACACTGCAATCTGCTTGTGATCCGAAGGCTTTCTGCGTCTGTCTCATCTCTTAACATCCAGCTTTTCATTGTCTGATGCGAAGCCCTTCTGCAGCTCAAATTGCAAACTAGATGCATGATGAGTCTAGTTTATACAACAACATTCACATCAACTCCTCTCCTTCAGGATTCCTCTCTCCAAGCTTGGTGACCAGCTCTCCTCAGCTTTTCCTGAACACAGCAGCTTGCTTCAGGACTTTTCACGGCTGGTTGAATTGCTCCTCTAATTCCGTCCATAAGCTTCCTCCCCAGCAACAATGAGCCTATTCTGTAGGCTACTCAGGTCGATCCGAGGGAACCTTGGTCGCTGTCGTGAATATCCAAACTTTCGTTGCAACATGACACGATCCCCGAGTGTATGTGTGTGTTTTTTTTCGCAAACATGACGATTTATTCGTCGTTACAAAGTTTGCCCATGAGAGTGAGGTTGACCAGTGTACGAAACACCATTCCCTGCTGACTCTGCCCCAGGTCGAGTTCCGCCCAAAAAGATGAATTCTCTCAGGAAGGAAGCTAACAATAATGCTCACATATTTCCACATAGTTGAGCTTCTCAAATTCAACGTCTCATCCCGATCTTCCAGAAGACACATCTACGCCAGCATCCATAAAATCAGGCATCACCGCCGCTCAAAACCACTCCAATTGCCTTATTTCCGTTCTGGCATTGAGGTCCATGAACAAAACTGTCACATACTAATCACACCGTCGACAAACCTCATATCGATAGATTCAAGTTGTGCTTCAGTGACACTGAGAGGAGTTGTGGATAGAACAGATTCTCTCAACAGATTCTCCGCTTCTTACAGATCGTTTGCCATAGCTGAAGCATGCAATGAACAATTGTCACGTTCACCATATCAACTGAAATACGGATGGGAGCATGTTGCAATGACGATCTCTGCTCTACAAATGATTTTTGCACTACATAATCGAATAATCTGCAGTAATGGCTTCGGTTTCTTCAGCTTGAACCCATCTACAACGTGTGTGGCATTGCTGATCTGGGCTCTGAATTGCAAAGCTTGTGCCTCAAAAACTTGTTACTGAGATTCCAACAGCTTGAAACAACACATGTTGGTCATTGATGTGGGTAGATAACCTACAAAACTTGAGCTTCCCACACAATGTCCGTGTAATTGTGGGAAGTTCCTGCAGTGCCTGAAGTGTGAGAATGAAGCGAAAGAAATGAAGCCTTAGTACAAGTCATTGTGTTTCCAACATGTGCAATTACTGTTGCTCTTTAATGGCAATTTGGGTTTAGTAAGTGGCGTTTGATACGTTTCATTTTTATCTATTTTTTTCTTAACTTTAAAAAAAAAAAAAAAAAAAAATGTATAAAATAAGTGATCTATGTTATTGCTTGACCTTCATTGTATTTGTATTTGTGTTAGTATTTCTCGTAAGAAATTTCTGAAGTTTTGTACTCTATCTACTATTGTATCATGTCTGTTGACTATATATATATATATATATATATATATAAAAAATAAAAATTTAGATATTCATTTGCACTGATAATTTCACATGAAATAAACAAAAAATTGAACACATGTTTGATTTTGCAATTGAGACTTGATTCTTTTATCTTTAAATTCTAACACCATATCTATTGATGAGGAATTGATGAGGAATGTCCTCTTTGAAATATTTGAAATTTTATTTTAAAATTATTTTTTGTTGTGAAGGAAAATATTTAAATCCAATTTTTTTATACACACAAAAAATAATTTTGTAATTTTAGATTTATTTAATAAAATAGATTTATATAATTCTTAATTATTACTTCAAAATAAAACATAATAAAGGTTTTTGTACTGAATTAACAAGTGCTTCTGAATCGAATGCAATTTAACAAAACCTGCAATGTGCAAAGTCAAAGTCTTGATAAGTTGTATGTAGAAAGTAAATTACAATATCTTAAATTTGGATCTAAAATAAATGTTAAATTTTAATACAATATGCACATGTAAGATTGGTCTAAGATTACAATTGTTGTTAATTTGAAGTTAGTTGTTTATAATTTAAGCTGTTACTTGAAGAAATAAATCTATTTAATAATGTTCTTATTAATGATAAAAAAATATGTTAAAATTTACCAATAAAAAATTTAGATAAAAAAAATATTTGTATAATAGCAAGGGGTTGCAAAGTAGAGGAGGAAGATGGAGGAAGTGTAAAGTGGGGCTAATTCCATGTGGGAATGGGAATAGGGGGATGTGGGGAAGTCAGGACAGGGGACATGAATGGGAACGGGGACAAAGAATAGGAAACAAGGGAGGAGAATAAGGACACGGGGGTTCAAGACTGGAGACATGGAATGAGGAAGAACAGGGACATGGGATTAGAAACAAGGGACAAAGATGGGGAATGGACGGAATCAATCATGAGATTGCAAGGAATCTAAGATTAACTTTTGATAATTGCAAAATCACTATTCATTAAGTACAAGTTTTAAAGCAAGTAGTAAGTTAGATTATGATGTAATCATAGAGTAACACATCAAGTCAAGAAAAACTCGCAATTGGTACTAAAAGTATCCTAAAATTTGGCAGTGGTCCAAGTGGAAATAATTTACATTGAGTTTAATATCCACATCAAAACTTACTTTCAACTGTTATGCTACTGTCTTTTCATGTTTTATTAAGAAGAATAAACGAAAAAATAATCTTTAATAAAAAAAAACAAATGTTCAGAAGAGTATTTTCTTGTGGAAAGGTAGACTTTTTGGCAGCATCCCTGTCGACAAGAAAAATTATTGGTGATGGATTCAGTTATTTTTTGAAAACTCTATAAACTTTCAATATGAACATATGTTTTGACAGAATATTGTTTGTATGCATCAAGTGTGTGCAGATCTACAGTTCCCATACTTTTGATCATTAGCGAACCAAAACCGTACGTTTTCATTTGTTAAAATAAGGTTTATTTTCTCCAATGCATTAAAAAACTGCACCAAAGACTATATATATATTTTTTGAGAATTTCACCTTACAGGGTGGCTTCAGGAACGTTGTTTAAAACAAAATTCTGAGTCACACGCTTTCACTTCTGATGCCGCTTATTCGTGCTCCTGTTTTTTTTAAATCCTTGAGAGTGCAATTAGGAAGCTGCACCACAGTACTTTCATGTATATTCATAGTCTAAACCACCAACATAGATTCAAGGACATAATTTCAGATGTATCTTGAAAACTTTCAGATTTTTAGATTACAAGTAAGTTTACCATGATGATAAATTATAACTCGAAAGGTTTAATTATGTTCGCCAGATCAATGTTGAGAACACTTACAGAAATATAGTCTTGTTGGCAGACACTTACTATTGAGCGAATCATTTTGGCGGTCTGGTAAACTGTCTTTCAAGTAGAGCCTCGGTATAAGACCATCTTTAAGGGAAAACGGTGGCTTCAATCTCCACAGTCAGTTCCAGAGGCAGGTGCACGGAAGCACCGCTACATAATGAATACATTGAACTCCATCCACTAACTCTTTCACTAATACATCCAAACGTCAGTCTAAACTTCGGCATTCACAAAAGGTTGGGATGTCGCCATCAGTCACGGTGATAATGCTCCATCTTTTTGTCAAATTCAACACTTCATCACATTCTTAGAGAATAATCCACCCAATCAACAAGCATCCTAATCAACAGACACTAAACAGAGTAAAAGATCCAGACAAAAATCACAAAACCATTGAATCAACAACCAAAACGAGAGATGCTCCATTATCCACTATGTGGAACCCACCATATATTATTAATGCAATGATGACTACCACGTTTTGATTAGAAAAAACAGCCTTCAGAAGGAAGCATCAGGGCAAAGTTCGCCACTACTGTACATCCAATTCCTGAGGACATATCACAGAGATACTCAGGGAAGGAAGCCGTAAAGTGGTTGCAAACTCTATTACTTGATGAACAGAGCAAAGCTTCTAAAACTCAACATCTGGGGCGCTGCTTGGATGTTTGAAAAGCGAACATGAGCAAGTTAACGGATGAGCAAAGTGGGTGTAAACAGGCAAAGAATGCCGAAAATACTTGCTTATGCCATATCCTTAGCCAGCTTCTCTGCCTTCTGTGAAACCTCCTCAATGCCGCCAACCATGTAGAAGGCCTGTTCAGGCAAGTCGTCGTACTTTCCATCCAACACACCCTGCACGTCAGGTTGAAGTCGTCAGGAACAGCACTATCGAAAGTTGAAACCATACTTTCAAGGGCAAACCTCTCTCGCAATTACCGAAGAACCCTAATCAAAACAAACCAGCTTCTGACAAGGAAAATCACAACTACCACATACCAACTCATATAAAACAGTCATCTTCAAATTTTCTTTGTCTCCCACAATAGAAGTTTAAAAGGGCATAAGTGGCTCACCCGGAATCCAGCAACGCTGTCTTTCAAGTCCACGTACTTTCCAGGCGACCCTGTGAATACCTCGGCCACGTGGAAGGGTTGACTCAAAAATCGCTGCATCTTCCTCGCGCGTGCCACAGTCAACTTGTCGTCTTCGCTCAGCTCGTCCATACCCAAGATGGCAATGATATCCTGCAAGTTCTTGTAGTTTTGCAGCACCTTCTGCACATCTCGTGCGCAGTAGTAATGCTCCTCTCCCAAAATGCGCGGGGACAGCATACGGGAGGTCGAATCCAAAGGATCCACAGCAGGGTAAATACCCAGCTCAGAAATTTGACGAGACAGCACAGTCGTGGCGTCCAGATGGGCAAAAGTAGTCGCTGGGGCAGGATCCGTCAAATCATCGGCGGGCACATAAATAGCCTGAACCGAGGTGATCGATCCCTTCTGCGTTGTCGTGATTCGCTCTTGGAGTCCTCCCAGATCAGTCGCCAGAGTAGGCTGGTACCCCACAGCAGATGGGATACGACCCAACAGAGCAGACACCTCCGAATTCGCTTGGGTGAAACGGAAAATGTTGTCGATAAAGAACAACACATCCTGCCCCTCAGCATCACGGAAGTGCTCTGCCACAGTCAGTCCAGTCAGACCCACTCGGGCACGGGCACCAGGGGGCTCGTTCATCTGTCCATACACCAGAGCGCACTTGCTCTCCATCTTCCCCAACCAAACCCAACAGGTCATCATTAGCCTTCAAAGACAAATAAAAGGTAACGAATTCACAGAGTAAACCTACCTCTAAACCATACCGTAACTGCAACATAAATGATAGAATAGTAGTGATTTATATCATCAGAAAGATCTTTTCAGGATGTCACCATCTACCGCTCACCGCTACCCACTCGGTCTTACCTGCTTGTCACCCAGCTTGATCACACCACTCTCAATCATCTCCTTGTACAGATCGTTACCCTCACGGGTGCGCTCTCCTACTCCAGCGAACACTGAAAATCCTCCGTGGGCCTTTGCAATGTTATTGATCAGCTCCATGATCAGCACCGTCTTCCCCACTCCTGCACCGCCGAACAGTCCAATCTTACCACCTCGCTGGTAGGGCGCCAATAGGTCAACGACCTTGATTCCAGTCTCCAAAATCTCCATCTCTGTTCCTTGGTCCACGAAGGCAGGGGCCTCACGATGAATTCCAAGAACATGCTCTCGGCCTACAAGCCATTACCACTCTTAGGATTTCACTCTCCCATCAGAACCAACACTAACACAGGGATTCGGAACTGTAAACGCACATCCACTTGAACAGCAAGTACAGACAATGCTGACACCCATCAATTGTGCACTTACTGATATCGCCTCTCTCGTCGATAGCTTCACCAATGACATTGATAATACGACCCAAAGTTGCACGCCCCACGGGGACCTGCACAATCGGAGTATCAAATTACCCGTTCGATTCAACCCGATTCAAAAACTCATGATCTGAGAGTCTCGTGCATCAGGAATCTAAGCAGCACATAATGGATTCAAAAACCTACTATTCCCGCTAACTCGGATGCGTGTGATTCCTCGACAGAATCAGAATTTCCAGCTCAGAGTGAAAATGTCAAAACATACACTGTTTCCAATCTGAGTACTTAAGAGGTTTCACATCTCAGGAAAAAAGAACTCTAATACTGTGTACCAAACGAATTGTGGAACATATGATTATCTGGAAAGTTACATGCATATCCTCTAATTAAACGAGCTGATAATTAGCATTATGTCATCATGTAACAACACTAAAGATACACGTTCGCATAGTATAACATGAACATGACCTGTAATCTCAATTACCGCAGATTCACACAAGAATGTTCGCGTTTAGTAATTGTACCAAATCTGATCACCATTCCACAAAAGTCCATCACTAAAACACGGAACGGCCACATTACACTCAGACGGCTACACAAATCCAGATGCAATCAAACAGGCACAGAAGAGCCTTCGACCCGGAAAATTCACCAAAACAAAATAAACATCCTAACCACCACCACATCCACTCAACAAAGGTTCTCACCATGATAGGAGACCCGGTGTTCAACACTCGCTGCCCGCGAACAAGCCCATCGGTCGTTTCCATAGCAATCGTCCGCACAGTGTTCTCTCCCAAATGCTGCGCCACTTCCAATACAACCCTCAGGTTGTGGTCCTGCACCTCCAAGGCGGTCAGAATGGGTGGCAAGCCCTTCTCAAACTTCACGTCCACCACGGCTCCGATCACTGTCGCAATGGAACCCACGCTTCCAGCGCCGGTGAAGTCCGTCGATTTGTTATCTGTGGACATGCTGCGCGCTAGCGCAGGTGTTACAGCCCTGACGCCCTGGAACAACGACGATCGGGACAGGCCCTTGGCAGCCGCATTCGCGACAGCTCTGCCATTGGGGGCATTGGAAGACACCGATCTCGACCCCTTCGGGGTCTGACAAGACGCGAGCCTGCGTGAGCCAGCCCGCAGCGCAGCGGCCAACGCCTTGCGTCCCGACATGGCCGTCTATCACCCTACAAACCCCTCCTCCTCAGAAAACCAAAAACCCACACTCGACAACAAGCAAAATCTCCCGCACACCCTCTAGGGTTTGCGCTCGGGGCTCCAGCACCGAAAACTTGAACACACAGGTAAGAAGAAGCTTTCCTGGCCCCTCTTGTGTCGCTGCGTCGCTGCCATGCACAACGGGGCCAACCCGACTTCGAAGGGACAACGATCATCGGCAAACGAATGAAGCTTCCGGGGATCTAGGTTTTGCCTGGTTCTCAACCGATCGATATCTGTCTATTGGATTCTGGGTAATTCCGAGATGCGGCGTCGCGGTTGGTAGATCGCGCCGCGATTGTTGTCAGTGCGGCGACGAAACTCTTGTGAGATGGACCGAGTGAGTGTGAGTGCGGTGAGTGACAGAGTGAGTGACTGGGTAATTCCCTCGTCTTAGTTACTTGCGGGTCCCCGTAATCAACTCACTAATCCTATTACTAAGTGGGATTAGCTTGCTCGTGTCCCTTTGCCTGTTCCATTAGGGTTTATTACAGTCGAACCAAGCGGGTGTTTTCCTTTTCCTTTATCTTTTTCTTACTTTAGTTTATTTTGTTTTATCCTATTCTTTTACTCTCTGCAAGCGGTGTAGGAACTCAACGTCTGGAATTTATCATCAAATGTTGTCATGTGTTTGTTTGTTTTAGTGAGAATAATTAAAGGTAATGTTTCTGATCTTTTTATTTTTGTAGGTTTCATAAACATGGTTCCAATTTCTGTAATAGTTTTTATTTTTCAAAAAAAAAAATTTTAAAAGAGAAAATAATTACCTTGCTGATTTTTTTATTTCTCGAACAAATTTGTAGGGTCTATGCATCAGTGATTGCGAGTCATTCATGCTACCTTCTGAGACTAGTCTTTTGTACTTTTCAACTTGCACCACAAAAATTATTGGTCATAAAGATAGGTTCTGTTTTGCTACCAAGATGTTTATAATGCTGTGGGAAAATGGACGGATAATACATTTTAGAAAACAATCTGGCATTGTATGCATATATTTTCTTGAAGTAATAAAATCAAACAGAAAAAAAAATTGTATGAGTAAATTATTTTATATGGATAAAGAAAGCAATGACATAATAAATGTAAAACTAATAAAAGAAAAATGCATCATAATACAACAAAAGTATAATTTCGGACATTACATTGAATTGTAATCATTTAACAATCACATATTAACTTTTATATGTATGAATATATATATATATATATATATATATATATACGCTTATGAAGCATATATAATAGTTATATTTCTATTAAGATTTTGAAAAATTTATACTTTTTCTAAAATATATGTAATAAATATAAAACAACATATTGCATATATATTATTTTTTAATTTATTTATATAAATTAAACTAACTTTGTAAATTTATACACCATAGAATATTGACAAGATTGATTATGTATACAAAGTGACTTATTATTATACTAGTTGTCATAAGAGTTTCTTAAAAAATCTAAAGATGAATAATTTAGTAATATATCTATTTTAATGTTATAATTAAATATTAATTAAAATCAGACAAGTGTATCATATTTATTTATTTATCATTAATATCATAATTATTATGCTATTGATAAATAAAATATAATACATATTCTACTATAATTAAGACCTTATGAATTTTTCAAAATAGATTTATTGTAATTAAATTCAAAAAAGATTCACAAAGATTAAGACTTTAAAAATATAATTTTAATTAATATCTTTATTTTAGAAAAATATTATGACCAAATAAAGCCATGTTAGGATGTGTTCTTATCAAAGACAAGAACTTGAAGAATGTAATTAAAGAAGTGAAATGTGTTTCAATATATATATTGAAGAAGAAATTGGAATGGTTACTACCAAATACAAGAATTAAGATTCTTAAAACTATATTAAATTAGATTCTTAAAGCTATATTAAAAGCAAGAAAGGAATTGACAAGAATGAAGAAATAATCACTCCTATTTCTATATATACTATTTAATTAAAGAAGTATGTGGCTACATTCTAAACATAATTTAACACATGTCTAACCAACGAGACATGTGTCTAACTAGTAAGATAAGTTTTCAACATATGTACTACATGGCCAACTTATAAAGCATGTAGTCAACATGTGCAATACATGGCCAACTCGTTAACTAAGTTTTCAAACTATCAATCACCCACAAGCATTTTGGAAGTCAAATCTATGTTTATGAAGCTTCTAAGAAGCTATTCTATAAGATGGTATCAAATTTACCTACTTCTATTTAACTTTTTTTATCTAAATAAATACTAGTGTTAATATATATTTCTTTGACATAACACTCATTTTAAAGATGAGTTCTAAAAGGAGCACTAATTACATGTTGAGAAAGTCTATGATACAACAAATTATATTTTCCACATACTTTGATCTTTATTCTTAACAAATGTAGTTGATAGGTCTTTTAAATCTTTTGTAATATTTCTTACTAAGGTAAAAAGACCACTTTGTTATTTGATTATTATTAAGTTCTTCATAACTTTTTTCAAGTAAACATTTGGAATGCCATCAAAAGTAGTTTATGTCTCCAATAATTTTATTAAACATTGAGAGGCTCTTCCAAAGTTGTGATATCAAACATGTTGTATCTCACCATCTATTTTAAAAAAAATGTGTCATTCTTGAGGATCTTCACATCTATTATGTTGTCTTAAAGTCTATGATAATTTCAATTGCTAATTTAATAACTTAGCAAAAAATAATTCTTGATTTGAATTTTTTAATTATTGATTTATCATCTCATTAATATTACAAATATAAAAATAAATCACAAAAAAAGGTAGAAGATAAAATGTAATCTTTACTAAACTTGCTTTATTTTATAATACATAATTGCTTAACTCTTCATTTTAGTATTCATGGATGATGTCAATAAAAAATATCAACCTTCATAACTATAATTTAAAGTTTCTTAAATGGTTGCTACAAGCATTCACTAATATCATATTTGTATCAACATACAAGATATTCTAACATATTTTGGTCCTAGCTTAAGTTTAAGACTTCTTCTTTCTTAAATTCTTAATTGTTGTCTATTTCTATAGAATGAAGTGGTATCTATTTTCTTTCCAATATATGTAATTTCTTTTATGGCTAAAGAAAAAACATATAGAATATAAGATAAATCTTCATAAACTCTAATAAGTGTAATTAATATGTAATTAGATTGAACTATTTAGAATAAAAAATAATCTAAGCTTTAAAGAAATTTTCTCTCAATATTAGAGGTTGCAGATTATCTTCTTCAAATTTGACTTATGGATTTGTTAAATTGTTTGAAATGGAAGAAAAAATCATTGATGCTACACTCGATAGAAGTGAAAATAGATTTGTAACTATTGCAAATCTTCACGAATTTGTCAATACTGTTAGAGTGGAAATTTCATGCATTTCTGGTACCAATCATGAAAACACTAATTTTATGCCTATGGAAGAAGTTCAAAAATCTACATTAAGAAGTTGTGCAGTTGAAGGAAGCAAGTAGATCGACCTCACAACCAAATCAAGGAAGTTTTACTTCTACAAGTATGACAGAGACACAAATAAATATGCTTGATAAGTTGAACACAATGAAATCAAGTTTTCAAAGATTTTTGAAATAAGTCAAGCTCTATCTAAGGTTGCATCCTTTTCAATATCCTAATGGATGTATTCAAATTAGATTCACAAATATACTTCTATTTAAATTTTATTTATTTATTTATTTATTTTTATTATTAATAAAAAAAGATTCATGACTCTTTTATGATTTAAATTCATTCATAGAAGTATTTACAACTACATTTAGAAATAGTGATCAAGAAAAAGTAGCAAAGACTAAGCTTATATCTTTACAATAAGGATTAAGATCAACTATTATATGTGTTGTTAAATTCCAAAACCTTGCTTGCAACATGGATTGGAATGACAAAGCCTTGATCAATCAATTTTGATATGGATTGAAGGATAACATCAAAGATTTGTTATTGGTAATGTCAAAAATAAAATCTTTGGAACAATTTATTGCTCAAGTCATTGCATGTGACAATCAATTATTTGAAAGATGTTAAGAATAAAGACTTGCTTAAAGAGGAATAAGCTAAGTAATGACAATATTTAGATTCTTAACTAAGTAAGAAAAGATTTGATGTCATCAAAAGGGTTTATGCTTATATTAAAGAGAAGCTAAGCACATTGTTCAACATTGTTAAAAAAATAATTCAATCACAAAATGAAGAATACAATTGCCAAAGAAGATAATGTATTAAAAAACAAGTTTTTTCAACTGCAATACAAATTATGTAGTTGGAATCATGTGCAATACCTAATAAAGGTCTTATTCTTTCCTTAGATCTTTCACCTTGTTTTATAATTGATGTATATTTAGGACCTAAAAATCACAAAGTCTTTGCATTATTAGATTCAAGAGCCTCAGCTTGTTTTATATACAAAGATTTTACCAAGAAACAAGAAATAACTTTAGTCAAGAATAATTAAATCCATACATATAGAAGTCATAGATGGTCGTTTGTTGTCTTTTAGAGATATCATTCATAAGATTTTTCTTTTAGATGTAGCAATTAAAGTTCATAATAATATAATTATATTTAATATATATTAAGATATTTCTCCAATCCAATTATTTTAGAATTATCATGGTTAAAAAAATATAATCTTTAGATAGATTGAATTTCTTATGACCTCAATTTTTCTTGTAATTTAATCCAAAACCTCAAAAGTAAAGTAAATAAGCCTAATACATCCAAACTTTTATAGGTATGTGCAAGAACTTTTATGCATGTAGCAAAAAAAAAAAGGTCATCTTTTGCTATACATGCCACACCCATTTTTAATAGTGGAAAGTCGTCAAGTGGTATTTTTAGCTAGTATTAAGATTTTAAGGATATTTTTGAAAAGAAAAATACAAATATTTTTTCAAAGCATTGATTGTATGATTATACAATTGATATATAAGAAGGAGCTCAACCACCATTTAGATTGATCTACAACTTATTGCAAAATAAATTGGCTATACTAAATGAATACATTGACAACAACTTAGTTAAGAAATTTATTTACCATTTAAAATCTCCAACAAGAGCTCCTATCTTATTGGTGAAGAAAAAAGATGGATCTTTGTAGATGTGCATAGACTATTGAGGAGTTAATAAGA